GGAAGCGACGTAAGATATGTGACTGTTCCAAGATAACGATGCATCAACTATCACACCAAAGTACTTAAAAGATCTCTTCTGGTTGAGAATCGAATCACCGCAGAATATAGATATCTACGGTTTAAACCAGACGCGCTACATCGCTTGGGCGCGAGACACCTCTAAAGGTATAGGGGAACCTTAAATCTGATGATAATTAACTTACGACTTACGTTATATGATGTGGGTCACACGATGGTGATAACGATGCTAAAATGTGAGATTGAACTCCCTCGAAAAGCTTAGCATAGAAATCGAGGAATAGGAACGATTGTTACCCCTAGTAACTCATTGCTCAGTTAGAACTGGACAACAGTCGGGTATCACAAATTAGCATTTTCATCATGTAATGAATTACGCTTGTTCTCGTTTTATGTAAACTTATGTGCACGAGCTGTCGTTCTGATACTTGTACGCTTTCAATTTATTTATATGAGTGAGGCAATATAACAATTGTGGCTTTTACTTTCATTACAAGTTTTCTTTCGTTTCGTTTGATTTTTACTCAATTTTATTTCACCTTCGTAGATCCGTCAATTCCTCGATTTCCGGCTCTCAGGCCTGGTGCATCATCAGCGTCATTAACTTTGGGAACTTAAACCTTTCTTATTTTCAGATTTTCTTTTCTGCTATATTACAGCCGAAAACCTCGTTATTTTTCGTCTATAAACTCGCAGTGATTCATTCGCTATCAGATTTCGTTTTCGTTTTCGTTTCGTGTCTTTTTTTCTTTTTGCTCTAGCGACTGAGATTATTTATTGATAAGTTTCGTTGAAGTTGCTCGGTAACGGATATCTCGTTGGGATCTATTTTTGAAATTGGCAAACTGTGCCAAACTCAGTAATCAAGAATCAATTAGATTCTCTAAAACGATGTCTCTAAAACGAAATTGCTGGTAAGCTTAATTAAAATCATTATTTCTTGACCATAGCAGTCCTATCCTATCTTCTCAATGTCTAAAACATTTCTTCACAATAGCCAATAAATTGCATCTGAGAAATATACTTTCGAACAAGAAATTTAATAGGGCATGGTAGTTTTGCCAAGTAAAGAAAGCCTAAAACAGCTCAAACAACAACGACGAAATTATCCATCAAAAGATATTAAAAAGGTTAAAAAAAAAAGAATCAAAATCAATATTTGATGGCAAACAAAGGTCAAACGCGTAATTCATAAAATGAAAATCAGTTTTTATTGTACAGAGGATCCGGAAAACTGGAAAGAAAGCCACCACAGAAAAAAGTGAGTTACACTGCACTTCTTGAACAAGAAGAAGTAATGCTGTCTGGGCATACAGTAGCTACATTTTTTTGTATCTTATGCGAGTGCATAGAAAAAAAAATTGGTTTTACACTGTAAGATTTTCAAGAAGAATTGGTGTTCTTGGCTGAGCGACGTTGCCGTGACATTGACCTCTCTTTGAAATTTATTCTAGGATCTGATTGGCTCAAAATCACTATGGTTTAGGAAGTCCTCATAAACAGATGACCTGTTAAAAGAACACACGTGACTGGTGTATCTAGCACAGCTAAGATCGAGGATTCTACTGATCGAACCTTCAGAACCAGGCACTCGCGACAAGACGATCCTTAAAACAGCGAAATTCAAGTCAGAATGCTGTCGCGGGTGACACATGTACGAAACTCAAGGCTTTTCATTGCATTGCTGATTTCCGTCGTTTTCACCGTGTCAGTCATCATTTCCTTTTTGCGGAAAAACGACTTGTATCATCGCGGCATTTCACCTGGTACACCGCAAGATGCTCCACAGAACGTTGCCCTCGCCATCAAGAAACAGTCGTTTGGCCCGGCGGCTGTAAAGGAAGTTGCGTTCACCATCAACAAAGAGTCATTTAGCCCGGCTGCAGAAGTTCCATTCTCAACAGCTAAAGAAGACACCCTTCCACACCGAACCTATTTAATATCCCGTACACGATACACCCAAACATTATTCCTTCTGATTTTGGTTGCAACTGCTCCAGACAATATTGNCGAGGAGCACAGAGAGACACTTATCAAAATCTAACACTGAAGACACAAATGGGTCTGGAATGGGCGGCAAAATATTGCGACTTTCAGTTTGTAATGAAAGCAGACGACGATGTCTTTGTCAATCCTTACAGACTGATGGGCTATCTAGGAAACCCCGACACACCTAAAACTAAGCTGTATCTCGGATACGTGAGGCGGAGTGCGGTACCTCATCGGCAAGGAAAGTATGGAGTGTCCATGGAAGCGTACAATAAAACCAGATATCCTGCCTTTTGTGGCGGCGTAGGCTACGTGCTATCGTCAGACCTTGTCCTGAAAATGGTGCAAATGTTTGATGCCAAGAAACCTTTGAACCTTGAAGACGTGTACATAGGTACATTAGTGGAAAGGCTGGGAGTGACAGATGTGCGACACCATCAAGAATTTCGTTCTTTGCAGTTTGGACCGTGCAAATATTTCTCGGATACTATTGTTTACCATAGAGCCTCCATAAATTGCTTGGAAGAACTGTTTAATTTAGCGATGAAAGAAAGACTACAGGGTGAATTCAATAAATCCAGGAGTACGAAAACTGAAGAAAACAAACAACTGTCAATGCTGGTGAAACATGATGACACAGGACAAACTGAAAAAGTTTGACCGCGAATTTTTATATGAGAATGTTGTTTTTCTGGCCCAGGATGAAAATTCTTGTTTTTCTGCCGATATTCTTGTGAACATTCTTAGATTATATCGTTTACATTTCAGTGTTAGAATCTACAGGGGTATCATTGACTAGTGTTTAATGTCTAGATGACGTTGAAGCAATTTTAGAGCCAGACAGCAGGCAAGCTTAACATGCCAGAGAACTTCTTGCAGAAATGTTATTAGCATCGAACAAAAGGCTTGTGGTTTTGAAATTTTTTTCCTGCTAGTTTTGCCGTTTGGGGATAGGAATAGGTTTGTGCGGTTTAAATAAAAACATGTAACAGCACTGTTGTTACTGAAATTTTTCAACGACACAAAAGTATATTCTTTCAAAGTCTTAGCCTCGGGTTTATTTTTAAACACTTTTAAAATTTAGCAAATTTTAGCCTCGATATTCTTATAGAATGTATCATGTTCTTATAAAAAAAAAAGAGTAAAGCCAAAGGGATTGCTTTTTCCTGTCCGTTCGGTAAGGTTTTCAGTCATATAACTTTTCGCCTTTTGTGCTTATATTTCTGATGTTAAGTCTAAATAATATGGTCATTATATTCTCCAGAAATAAGATGTAACATCCAAGAGGATTTCAAATTAAATATAATCAATGGCGAATATTTGGTTTTAGGCATCGGATAGACATGTTAACATTTACCGGAGTGTACTTTACCATGGTCGTTCTGTCCATTGGGAAATTATTGATTATCGCAATAAAATTCTTGAACTAATTCATGCATGTTTAGGAGGCGGTTTCAGTAGTGGGCAGTTTTGTTTTTTTGATATTAATATTTACCTACGTACGTGTACGTGGCGAAAGGAACTGATTGATCGAGTGTAACAAAAGAGGACAACATCTTTATTTGATCCACTGACTTTGATTGGCAATTGGAGGAAATTTCGATCCTCAGAAATAAATTACGAATAAAATTTTACAGTGGTTTGTAAAGAGTTTCCATCTCTTCTCAGTTCTCTGAGGTTCGAGTAATTCACACCATGTAAGTTATAACTATGCATGTGTGACGTTATAGGATTGCTTATGTCAGAAACTGTAAAAATCTAGCGAATCTAAGACGACCACTCATATCTTAAAGTGGCATGTTGACCGACGTGCGAACAATACCGACCCGTTGTTTCGTATGCAAAGATGTTGGGTGATGCAATACAAACTGAATCACGAGAACCGCGGTTGTGAAATTAAGAAGAAAAAGAACCTCTTAGTGAGCTGTTATAAAGAAAAGCCTGTGGGGAAAAATTAAAGTTTCCACTAATTATTTATACATGCTCTTTTTATTTTACGTTATACAGGGCCCCCGTTGATACCAGTCCTGCGACTGAAGGGGTCACCCTGTTTAAATATCGATTATTATTATTATTATTATTATTATTATTATTATTATTATTATTACTACATGGATTCCAATCCCGATGCAAGTTTCCAATTATTTTTGACAGTGATAGATTTCGTTGCGACTTCATAAGTTAGTTCCGTACTGAAGCGTCAACGATCTTATAATTACTTACTGTGGTTGAACCCAAGGGTCGAGCACAGCCGCTCAATGTTCACGTCTGGTACAGCTGAGGCTAATGCAGGGCCTACATGAGTCTCCATTGCAAGCTTGTTCCAGTCCAGTACCGAGAATACGATGATGGTCTCTTATTCAGAAACTTACAAAATGTGACATTCTGCTTCTGTTTTGAAAGATTGTTCATTGTTCCACCGAAAGATTCGTGGACCTGTCCGGAGATCAACCCAGGTGAAAATCATGCCACTAGTCCAACAGGCCAGAGATACAAAAGTTATAAAGACAAAGGCCTTGTTTTACTCCTTCGATTAGCCGGTGATATAACACCTGTTCTGTGATGTCTAAGGCGGTCTGACAATGCAACTCTGCTGTTGTGTCCTCGGGGGTTAAACCGTTCAGGTACAGCTCCAACAGCAAGTGAACTTTTCGGGAAGATAAGCAATTTCTCAATAGCTAAAATTGTAACAGACTGCCATATTCAAGAAGTCTCCGTGGCGCGATCGGTTAGCGCGTTCGGCTGTTAATCGAAAGGTTGGTGGTTCAAGCCCATCCGGGGACGTTTTTATTTTCTTTTTTTTCGTTTTTTTGCTTTGTGATCACTTAATACACAAGCGAGGAGGATACAGCACGTACAGCACTTGCAAAAATGCTGCATTTGTTCATATTTTATTGTTGTCATTTATAAATTTGCGCTGTAAACGCAACAAACTTATGTTTTTATCCTTAGTTAAATTGGCATTGCTCATTTCAAGGATCTTTGATTAATCAGCTTTTGTAAACCAAAGTAAAGGCCACGCAATTCCCGATGACCATAATTAATTTTAATCATATTTTATTCTTCTCCTTGAAACAGTGTCATAGCCTTACAGAGAACAAACCATGGCCTAGTTTTACTTGTTCACTCCTTCACCCCGGTCGAACCGCTGAAATGAGCTCCAGGCCCTCTCCTCCACTCCCACCAGTTTTGAATTATCAGTGCCTAGATAATCCATACTGGAATCTTCTTAAGAAAAGAGAAACTCTCCAAACTGAACAGATTATCTTAAGAAACAAGAAGCTTTCAGATTTCAGATTTTTTTTGAGATTTTTTTATTGTTTTGCACTATTTCTTACAGTAAATCTATAAAGAAATATGACATAACATTGCCAACAAGAACACAGAAACAAAAAAAATATACAACAAATAGTCACTGCCACATTAAGCTTATATTACTAAAAACAGTGCAAAGTGTATTACAAGAGGTACTTGTATGAGAAGACTGTTCGGCTTAAGAAACAGCTTGAGAATCTAGTAGGTTCAGTTTATATTGTTATCTATTTTTATCGATAAATGTATGCCGACTGAAACTTCCTAAATGCAAATGATTCACCAAAAATCTGGAACGATGAACTCCTAGTAACAATACAAACTGTATCATCTAGTTGGCAGTTTGAATTTCAGGAGCTTACAACTGCTTGGTCCATTTTCTCTTTCTGGATCGAGAGGGCGACGCAGCACAGTGAAACGTCTAAAGTCTCGTCCTCGGCTACGGAACTTGCCAATAATTTTATCACTTTCTTCGAAAATAAAATTATCAATATAAGATGTAAACTGGAAGCTGCCGAAATGCCTGATCTCTTCTGTACTTTGGACAAATTAACGCTTGACTGTCAGTTAACTGCCTTCTCACCTACTTCAATCGTTGAACTTTCGGAAGTTGCACGCACTGTTGTGTCTAAGTCTTGTAGCCTGGACCCTCTGCCTGCCGTCTTGTTAAA